AACATCCAGCTTTTAAATCTTCGTTAAAAAAGCGAAAGAATTTATAACTACTAAAACATAACGGGAGAAAAAAACCTTTTCTGCTGTGATAGATATATTACTCTCCTTCTTACTCTCGAGCGATGACGAGACACACTCTTTTGTTTCGCTTCCTGGGATAACAATAATTATCATTATTATAACAATAATAATAGTAATAATAATGATGATAACGACAATAATGATAAACTAATATCTAAAGAAAATCAAATCTAAATCGACAAAACATAAATGTAGCAATTACTAACCTTTTCGCTTCGTACTAAAGTGTGGTGACAACTGTCTGGGAGAAAAAGACCTAAAATAAAATCAAATACGTAGAGTTAAAATGAACAAAGTGAAAATTGTAGCAAGTACCTTCTCGGTGTTGATGCGTCAGTGAATTCGCCCCTAAAGCCACAACCCATTTGCTTCGCAACAGCTTTAACAGCAGCCGCAAACTCTTTACTACATATAAAATTTTCGTCTTCAAAGCAAGCACTTTCGCTACGTGACGCTACAAATTCGTTTGCATGTATAAGAAACAAAAAAACAAGAAATATCCAAAATAATTGTGCAAAACAACTAACTTCGTTTTCCATGAGGTCCGGAACACCCTGTCCTACTTTTTTCGTTCAAGCACCCTCCTATGCCTTCAAAATTCCGATAGTAGTGATACGGCACTTGCCAATCACCCCAAGCAGTATCTCTTCTCTAAAAACCAATTTTCAAAGGCAGAAAGCTATGCTAAAGTCCCATGAAATAATTTTAAAAAGTTGACCTTTCAATAAAAATAGGTAAAAAAACAACTGACATCATAAGTGTCGTGAAAAGAAATAAGCGCTTTTGCTGCTTGAGCTTGTGACGCTTCCTGTGCTTCGAAATACTCAAATTTTTCACTCGATGCTCTCCTTTTTCTCCCTTTTCCACTGGTAGATAACTCATCAGTGATACTTGATTCCGAAAGCCTCTTTCTCTAGAGTTATTGTTTCTACTTATATACACTCAAAAGTGTTTTACAGCAATATTAAAACCAAATATCAAAACTAATGAAAATCCGCTCACCCAAATATAATTCCTAGACAAATCAGGGTCCTGTTCGAGTATCCCGCAGGTCAAAATGTGAGTTATCCGACAGTCCTCACAAGAACAATGTCGTATAGAGCATTCTCGACACTTTATACACGGCACAACCTCGCCATTATGATCTTAACAGAACAATCAGATTGACTTTATACTACTTTTGATTTTATTTTATTTTTTCTTGGACGAACATTTTAAAAGTTCACTTTCTTCTAGTTTTCTCAACAGTTTTTACAAAATTTAGGATTTATAAAAACCACGAGTAAGCCGCAATAACTTATGAATATTTTTTAGGCAAAATTTTCCAATTTTTCCACTTGAATGCATTAAACTCTATTTCATTTTGAATGAATTTCCGAAAAATCTATTGCCGATCACCCATTAGAATACATGTAAAAACCCACTCGCTAGAATACATGTAAAGAATTCCATGCATTCTACAGCTTGCCTTGAAAAAAAATTAATTTAAAACCTTGCATAAAATCCTGGAACGTCCTTCTAAAAATATTTATTACTTTCTCCTACAGACCACGTAGAGAAAATTTCACAACCTGCATCAAAGGTTCTCCCTCTGAAGACCACATTGGCCTAAGGCAGCTCAAGAAAGATAAAAAAAACCATGAAAGCTATACTGCTATCCAAACAGTCAGAACCTTGCCGCTAATTTTAGCGCTCTGCTTAACCTGAATGGTTTAACTATAAAGTTAAATACAGTATTTTTCATCGCTATAAAATCGCCTATGAATAAAAAAATACATTCTAAACTACTAAATCCTAATTCAAAAATATTTCCTGTACGACACGCAAATGCCGAACGTATTAAGGAAACCATCATTCAAATGAGTCAAAAGAAAAGCAAATTTACTACCACTAAAAAACAATGTATGAACGAAGATAAAATTTGGTAAAACGGATGCTTTTAAACGACAATAGATATAGAAAGATGTTTAGGTGAGATAAAAATAAACGTCAAGAAAACTCGACCTTGGAAAAATATGAAGTACTTCCAAAAAAAAAAAATTACTTTACACTTAGGAAAAAGAAGAAAGAAACGCAAAGGACAGTATAAAACAAACTGACTATCGTTTTAAAAAACCCTCAAGCAAAAAAGACTTTGTTCTAACCGACACAGACAGAGGCTGGAGGTCCCTCCTCAATTAACTCGTAGATTCGACGTGTCAGATTCGCTCCATCGGAATCAGAATCGCTATTATCACTAAATGTAAACGAAAGTAAATTAAAGACACTAACAACAGTAAAGAAATTTTTTCTTATTATATTATGAAAAAAAATTGGACTCCTAAGTGAGCCAATAAGACAGTGGTAAATAAAAAACGTACATTTCATCGAAAAATGGTCCCTCAATCGCACCAGAGAAACAAAAATCCGGATGCCACTTATAAAAATTTTTCTTGTATGATGCGGAATTTCGCCTCATCTTACGCTGGGCTTCGTAAAAGCCTATACTCTCCTCGAAAAGTTCTTGCTTTGCTTGTCGAGACAACTAAAATGTAGTCCAACCAAATACCCAATAAGCCACAAAAAAAGTTTTCAATTAAAAAAACACTTCATGCAGTCATTGTAAGAGAACAGTAAAATAATTTTAACTGAAAACATTGTTACTGATGTCACTACCAAAATTTTCTTAATAAATACAACCTCACTCTCAAAATCATTCACTCCAGAAAGAGTATAGGATCCACTCACAACAGTAATTTAGTTTCAAATCTGGACAATGATGGGTTCACGTACAAAAACAGTGTCATACTTTTCAGCGCAACACCCACTAACAACAGAATTCTAGATCACTTCAGCAAAATTTTACCAAAATTCCCACTGTTTTTTTTTTTTTTTTTGATGTGTAAATTAATTGATAATTTTTCACTTTTCTATCTCAAAAGCGCTTTTTTTTTTTTT